TATATATATATTAAAAATATTAAATAATTAGTAAAATATTATTTTAATATTAATATGTATTTTAACAATTTACCTATACAATGTAAGGCCAATTAATTGATGGGTGTATAGCTTCATAAATTTTATTTTTCTATATACAATGTTTGTCAAAAATAACTAAAAAAAATTCCTTATGATACTTTTGGAAAGCGTGTTGTTTGAAAAAGAGAACTTAAGAACTAAAATGTAATCCAATTGCGTTATACCTATTCTTTTATTCTTATGATTTACAATATAATTAGTAGTTATAAGTAGTATTTACGTATCAATACAACTATTTGGTTGTTTTATTATTCTACTTGCCGTGCTTCTCTGTTTTTAGAACAAAGTAGGCAATAGAATTAAAAATTAGGGCAGAATTGCTAAGTAAAATTATGTCCCTTCTTACAGCTTTAATTACGTCCTTTTAAAAAATATGTTTTGAACAATAAACCACATACATTGCTCATGAAATGTCATTTCTCAGTAGTTTTAGTCTTAGGACAATTTTACATTAAACCACTCTTCCTTCTGCTTTCTTCAGGATTTTTTTTAAACCCTTATTGAAGAAATCTTATTTCAATTGTGAAAACATGTTTGAATGTAAATGGTCCTACAACCTCCTATCCATTTGGCTATTGGTGAATATATTTATTAGGAAAATTTTACATACAAACCACTCAATTTCTATGTATTTACATGTCTAACACATAAACTTCAATTTTTACATACTCATGAGTGGGTGTATATATCTTTTTAAAAGTTAAAATGGTGGTGTTTTTGATGTGATGAAATATTTGGGTTGCATGAACGTATAAAGGAAAGTTTAGGTGTTAGATATGTAAATACATAGGAATTGGGTGGTATGTATATAAATACCCTGTTTTTAATAAGATACATGCCAATTACTTGAATTATGTTTTTGCATGTGTGACAGGCTTCTCGTCTTTTTGGTCTTGGAGATGAATTTAGTGAGGACGCTTTGCTAGGAAGGCTTGAGGGCATGAAGGACATTATTCAACAAGTCAACAAACAATTTAAAGACCCTGTAAGTGTGTACTTCCTTCACATTTGTAAACAACTCAGTATTAGTTAGCTAACTTGTATGTTTTGGAACTTGTTTATGTAATTGCGCAAACTACTATTTCTAATATCTTTTTACAAGCTTGCTTTTCTTATGGTATGGAGACTTAGAAATTTGCATCACGAGAAACCGTTTAGGTAAAGTTGTTGAGACTGCTACTTTAAAGTTTATCCTCTATAAAATATAAGGGGCATTTTTAGTCCTAAAAGAAAATTTGCATCACGAAGAAACCGTTTAGGTACAAATTTACGTATTTCACACCTAAACTTTCATATTTACACACATGGCATTCAAATCTTTAATTTCACACAAAAATAGCACTATTTTCACCTTTTAACAGTGAAATACTCCTTTTCATGCTATGGTTTAAAGCACCAAAATGATATGTGTAAATACGAAAGTTTCAGTATGAGATATGTAAATACATAAGAAGTATGTGCTAGGTACGCAAATTTTCCAAATTTTAGTTAACGGGATGAAGTTGATGTGGAGTCATCAATTCAAAATAATTTTTTGGTTAAGCTGTTCTTTTAATCTAGCTCGAGGCTACGTTTTTGAGTTAATTTTAGTTTCCCCTTTGGGTGACTGAAATGTTTGTTTTCTAGTTTTGGCATCTGTGAAATTATCATGCATGCATGCTTTCATGAGCAAGTGCTGGTGGATAAAATTTGTGTATCAAAATTTAAAATTTCTAAGCAGCTATTATTTGTTAATTATTTTGCTTATTTATTTGTGAAATATGCCTATTTATAACAAATAATGGTTGGTTGTCAATATATGGGATCACTCGGGTATGATTACAAAATTTACTGCCCCATTATCAACATTTAGGAGAGTTTTACATTTCGGTATGCCCTCGTAGTTTAAGATTACAAAAAAAGCCTACTATATATTCCCAATCTTCTTACTAAATTCTGAGTGCCCATTCCTGTCTATCAAGGTCATGATAGCTTGTGCCTAGTACCTTCTACCTTTGCATTAAATTGTTAGAAGATTTACATACATACCACTTAATTCATATGTACTCACATATTCTCTAACACCTAAACTTCATTTTTTTACATATATGCCACCTTACTTATCCATTATAAGGTGTATTTCGCTTTTTAGAAGTTATAATAGTGGTAGTTTTGATGTGATATGAAAGATTTGGGTGGGATAAATGTAATAAGTAAAATTTAGATGTTAGATATGCAAATACATAGGAATAGGTGGTATGCATATAAATGCCCAAAGTATTCGTGGATATGCAACATTATTCTCTTTTTATCGAAAATTGTAGTTGCTTGTTATCGCTCATAAACAATGTTTTCAATTATTTGGCTTCTGTCACTGTTATTCTCTTTTTTCTGAAAAGTAATAGGGATAATGTAATCTTAGGAATGAGAAATGCTGAAGACATTATACTAAAGGAGGATTTACATGCATGCCACACAATTCTTGTGCATTTTACATATCTAACATCAAAATTTTGATAAATATTAGTATCACATAAAAAATACCACTAATATTAAATTTTTGCAAGTGGAATACACCATTTCATGCATGTGCTTTGATATGATTACGACTCACTTTTATTTAAGTAAATATAAAAGATTTAAGTGTTAGATTTGTGAATAAGTCAATTAACAAAAGAAGTAAATCTTCTTTCTTACAGAGCCGAGTGGGATGCAAGCTATTAGTGTCAATTTCTTGCATTTTTTATATATCTTCATATGACTATTCCAAACCTTTCTACAGAGCTGAGTGTGCCTACGAGCCATTAACAGCAAATATGTCTAGGTTGTCATTTTATTTCGGTGGGGTAAGCTGCTAGCGATGGATGTTCAACTTTTCTTTTAGAAAGATTTATGTACATTCCACTCAATTCTTATATATTTACGTATGTAACACCTAAGCTTTAATTTTTACTCGTGAAAAGGTGTATTTCACTTTTTAAAAGTTAAAATAGTGATATTTTGATGTGATATGAAAGTGGGTGGTATAAATATAAAAAATAAAGTTCGACTGTTGGATATGTAAATATATAAGTATTTGGTGTTATGTATGTAAATGCTCATTTCTTTTATAAAACAATATCATGCTAAATTCTAAGCTACATTTTATCCTTTCTTTTCATTAGTTCTGAAAGAATTACCTTCAGCGGTGCGACTTGATTGCGTGTATCATAGTCTATAGTACCATAAAGACCTTTTTTTGGAAGATTTACATAAATACCACTCAATTCTTATGTATTTTCTAACACCTAAACTTCAATTTTTACATATATATACCATCTTACCCATACATGAGAATGTCATTTCATTTTTTATAAGTTAGAAATGGTATTTTTGATATAATATGAAAGATTTGGGTTGCATAATGTTAAAACATAAAGTTTAGGTATTAGATACTTAAATACTAGAAAGGTTCTCTTGGGTTCATTCTAGTGAAATTTATGAAAAATTCCTTACATATGGAATAAATATTTTTGCATCCTTATTGCAAACGATGCCACTCATTTCATTCAACAATTTTTTTGTTCATTTATTGTAAATAAAATCTTGATAAATGATGTTGATGAGAACCGTAAGAGCTATTGAGCTTCATCGGATCAATTTCTTCTTTGGTCGCTGTCCAGCGGTTAGTTCACTACTGTTAAACTTTTACAAAAAAACCCACATACTTTCAAAATTTAGCAGTTCTCATCTCTACATCTTCTGAAGTGGTGCTCTTCCTTTTTTCCAGGACATGACAACATTTGTCTGCGTCTGCATTCCGGAGTTCCTTTCCCTCTATGAAACTGAGAGGCTTGTACAAGAACTGGCAAAGTTTGAGATAGATGCTCATAATATTATCATCAATCAAGTAATTTTTGATGAGGAAGGTACAATCTCTTCTTCTTTTTTTTTTCACAAATTAAGAGTTGAGGGCATTACGTTGTTTGGTCCCACTGTTTTCACAATTTTATAACGTGCTCCACCATTTTGTTTTTTTGGAAAGTTTTGTTTATTTATAGGGACATTTACATACATACCATACCACACAATTCTTGTATATTTACATATCTAACACCTGTACTTTCATATTTACATGCATAACACTCAAATATTTAACACTGCATAAAAAAAACCACTATTTTTTATTTTTTAGAAATGAAATACCCCTTTTTGGCATAGGTTTATGACACTAAAGTATTATATATGTAAAGGGCATTTACATATATACCACACATTTCTTATGTATTTACATGTCTAACTCTTAAACTCTTATATTTTCCTACATAACACTCTAATCTTTACTTATAACATCAAACATACCACTTTAACTAACTTTTTAAAAGTGAAGTACACCTTTTTTTGAATAGGTTCGTGATGCTAAAATGTCATAAACGTGCATATCAAACCTTAGGTGTAGGTTATGTAAATACAAAGGAATTATTTGGTTTGTATGTGAATATAGAAGTTTTGGTGTTAGCTGTGTAAATACATAAGAATTCTGTGGTATGCATGTATATTTCCCTAATTATCCAACCAAGCCATGTGAATGTCTTAATCCTTTGATATCTTCTATGAAATTTAGTTTTAGAAGATTTACTTACATATCCTAGGTATTTACATCTCCAACACCAAAACTTCAATTTTTTACATATATACAACCTTTACTATACATGAAAAGGTGTATTTTACTTTAAAAAAGTAAATAAAAAGGGGTTTTTTGACGTGATATGAAAGATTTGGATGTTATAAATGTAAAAAAGAAAAGCTTAGATGGTAGTTATGTAAATATATGAGAATTGGGTGGTATGTATATAAATGCCCCAAAATTTTTTTAGGACCCAACCGTCTGTGCCTTTTCGCAATTCATTCTCTTTATTTTTCTCACCACCCCACCTCTCACTTACAAGTATTTCCATCATTGCATTTCATAATCTTTACTTATTGGCCATTTTCCAAGTGGATGCGAAATAATATATTTGTTTTTGTAGCTGTGGAGTCCAGGTTACTGAAAGCTCGAATAAAGATGCAGCAGAAGTATATAGATCAGTTCTATATGCTGTATGATGACTTCAATATCACCAAATTGCCACTGCTTCCGGAAGAGGTAACAATTAAAATCTTTTTTTTTAAATGTTTTGTTGGGAGGTGGAGGGGGCAATACCTCTGTATTTACATATCTATTACATTTATACCGCCATAAAAAATTTCGCCATTTTAACTTTAGAAAGTGAAATACAGCTTTGCATGCATAGGTAAGGCGGTGTATATGTAGATTGATGTTTAGGTGTTCGATATGTAAATACATTGGAATTTTTTCCTCTTTTTAACAATTCTAGTACCACCTCCTTAAGGCTAATTGTGCCAGAGGGGATTCGAATCCCCGATCTGAGGAGTCTTATACTGTGGATGTCAACCAACAAGCCGAGGAACGCGGCACACACACACACACACACTCCACAGAACGACACACGTATTCGTAAATTATTTTCATTAGTTGATTCTTTTTTCTATTTTCTTGCATATGTTTCACAATTTTTTCATGCAACTTTTTTGCCTGAATTGCTTGCCGTGGATTTTATCATATTTAGATGTAATTTGAATTGCAACAAGTTATGTTAATCTACGATACATCGAAATAGGCAGCTTTTTTCTGGCAGATAACACACCAAATCTAAATGGATGTTGTGCAATGAATCGATTTGTTTTTGTATATATTAGCAACTACGCATTCTTTTTAGAGGCATTTACATACATACCACCTGATTCCTATGTATTTACATATGTAACACCTGAACTTTAATTTTTACATACTGTAAAAATTGAAGTTTAGGTGTTAGATATGTAAACACATAGGAATTAAGTGGTATGCATGCAAACCATCCAGGAAATAAAGATTCAAAAAATCAACCTCAATTAATGATGATAATGCTAATAATGATAATTTTCTCTAAAGAACTTCAACAATGGCATGTGAGCTTCTGCAGGTCACTGGCGTTGAAGCCTTGAAAAGATTTTCAAAACATTTCACAACACCATACAAGCCTGCTCTAACCAAAGGCTCCATGGAGGAATTGCAGCAGAGGATTTCAGAACTGAGATTTCAGCTGAAAGAAGCCGAAGTTGAGCTCGACAAACTCAAGAGAGGTAAACACAAGGCTTGATTTTACAAAACCACCCCCCTTTTTTTCATTTTTTCCTTTTTTTTAATTGAATCCTCACAGCCTTTCAGATAAGCAAATTAATGAGGTTTTTTAGTAATAATTTTTGGATTTATTTTATTTTATTTTTACTTGTTACTTGGTACTTAAGTCTGGTGATGCTATTATTTGTTCTACTGATGCTTCTAATAAATCTGTTTTGTTTTTTGTTTTTGTTCAAAAAAACTTGTCGTTTGCGAATTACTCATGTTTAGCTCGCTAAATAACTCGTGTTCTATTCGTTCGATAAACAAGCGAGCCGAACAAGAACAAATTTTGTTCGATCTTGTTCAACTCGTTTTGGCTCGAATTAATTAAATAGTAAATAATAATATATAAAATTTATTATAATGATATCTAAACTTTTTTTTTTTATAAATGTAAAAAATAGAAGTTAGATGTTGGATATGTCAAACATATGAGAATTGGGTGTTATGTATATAAATGCCTCATTTTCTTCCAAAAATCCTGCCCTTGCTGGCATGGAGGTTACCAATGTAAATACATAAGAATTTAATGGCATGTATGTACATGATCTTTCTCTTCATTAGTTTGTCCCACATGGGGATATTGGGAGAAGCTCTATCAGCTTCACTTAAATAATCTCTTGTGATTTTTTTGAAGGAGAAATATATTATATTTTCAGTTCAATTGAAAATATTTTAAAATAAAATATTAAATTTTTGAAATTTCAATTCAAGCTGAAATTTGAGTTGAAAACTAATATGATTTGTTCACGCTCAATTCGTCCAAATAAATTTGAATTAAGTCGAACACAAATAGTTAATTTAAAAGCTATTTCAAACATAAGTTGAACACGAGTGAATCTTGGGCTTGCTTGAGGTTGGCTTATTTATATCCTCAGTTGTACGTTCAGTAGAAGAATGCAAGTATTTTTTTTTTAAGTCAAATCTCATAGGGAAATTTTATTTCATCAAGAAAATAAATACAAAGATAATGTGATCAATAGTTCAACTAACCACTTACAACTCACGCAAAAAAAAGAAAATCCTATGAATCGTTGATCACTAGATACAACTAACACAAAAAAATTAAAAAAACATTATCACGTTGTATAAAGGGTAAATCTAAGAAGTCACCTCTGATAAGAATAGACAAGTCATGTGGAATTTTGATGAAAAAAAAATGAAGTTTGTTTTATAAATGTAAAAAATAAAAGTTAGATGTTGGATATGTAAAGATATGAGGATTGGGTGTTATGTAATATAAATGCCTCATTTTCTTCCAAAAATCCTGCCCTTGCTGGCATGGAGGTTACCAATGTAAATACATAAGAATTTAATGGCATGTATGTACATGATCTTTCTCTTCATTAGTTTGTCCCACATGGGGATATTGGGAGAAGCTCTATCAGCTTCACTTAAATAATCTCTTGTGATTTTTTTGAAGGAGAAATATATTATATTTTCAGTTCAATTGAAAATATTTTAAAATAAAATATTAAATTTTTGAAATTTCAATTCAAGCTGAAATTTGAGTTGAAAACTAATATGATTTGTTCACGCTCAATTCGTCCAAATAAATTTGAATTAAGTCGAACACAAATAGTTAATTTAAAAGCTATTTCAAACATAAGTTGAACACGAGTGAATCTTGGGCTTGCTTGAGGTTGGCTTATTTATATCCTCAGTTGTACGTTCACTAGAAAAATGCAAGTTTTTTTTTAAAAAAAAATCAATTCTCATAGGGAAATTTTATTTCATCAAGAAAATAAATACAAAGATAATGTGATAAATAGTTGAACTAACTCCCTACAACTCATGCAAAAAAAAGAAAATCCTATGAACGGTTGATCACTAGATACAACTAACACAAAAAAAATTTAAAAAAACATTATCACCTCGAATAAAGGGTAAATCTAAGCAGTCACCTCTGATAAGAATAGACAGGTCATGTGGAATTTTGATGAAAAAAAAATGAAGTTTTGCTTCTCCAATACTATTTTGGTAGCCCAGTTTGCATGTTGGTTTTCTTCTTGTTAAGTAAATGACCAGTTTATCTACAAGGTCTTAAGAAAAAAAAAAATTATTTGATTAATAAAAATTCAAGGATACGATTGTTTCTTGGTACAATAATTCCATAATTTACAAGAGTCCATTTCAATCTCAATTAAACTCTAATTGCATTTAACAACTAAATCTAAGGCAATTGTAACAGCTTCTGCTTCAGCATAAATAGGTGCATGAGCCATAAGAGGAGTAGAAAACTAAAATAAACAATTTCCAGTATAATTACGACAAACTCCTCCAATACCAGCATAAGAATTATTCCAACTAACATCAATATTTATTTTTAAAATATCTCTTAAAGGCTTTTTCCAATAAATCAAACTAGTAACTGGCTTGCAATAAGAGGGTATAGAAAAATTATATTTGTCAAACAAATTCCTCAATTTTATGCCCAAAGGTTTCTTAAAAACACCAAAATGTAGCATCTTAAAAATATAATTTTTAATGAAAATAAAGCATGAATGTGCATGAATCAAAATATAACTTTATTTAGCATTATGTCTAACAAATCAAATGTACCAATAAACAACAATAGGAATAGAGGTGAAGAAAAAGCCTCCATCAAATTGATTCCAAAATTTAAAGAGATCATCAATCGAATAAATGCAGAGCTCATTCATCCGCAAATCACAAAATTTAAAATATTTATTCAAACATCAGTCGTGTAAGAACAGCTAATAAAACTATGTTTTAGATTTTCTTCTCTGTGATTACAAAGAAAGCAACGAGAAGTTATTCTTAATCCTTCTAATCTAAGAACATCATCAGTAGGAAGAATACGATGGAAAAACCTCCAAAAGCAGAATGCAAGCTTGACATGATATATTCTATGATCTCATTTTGAGACCACATAGCATTATTTTTACATGCTTACATGTGTATGACATCCAAACTTTTATATTCACATATGCATAATAGTCATAACATCATATGACAAACATTCTCTTAAAAATTCAAATGCATGTTTTCAAGCATAGGCTAATATAAACAAAATGGTATAAATGTAAATGTAAAATATAGGTGTTGATGTGTGAACACATGAATTGTGTTGTAAATTTCCATTTTTATGGGGCATCTACGTACAAAACACGTATTTTTTAAAGTATGTATTTAAATATCTAACACCTAACATATCATGTGATGTATGAAATGCTCTTACGATTGCGAATCATTAATTCAAATGTATTTACTTCTCTTAACACCAAAATTTTATTTTTTACATATGTACCCTTATACGCATCAAAAAGGTGTATTTTAAATTGTATTTTTAATGTGATATGAAAGATGTGGGTGGTATAAATGTAAAAATGAAAGTTTAGGTGTTGGATATATAAATATATTGAAATTGAGTGGTTAGTACTTAAGTGACCCTATAATAAGGTGATTTTATTTATTTATATGGTATTTGCCTAATGAAATTTTGACTTGAGGTTGCATTGGTAATTAATACATTTTAAAATCAAATTATGAATTGCTTGCGCTCATATTTGTGATTAAGTGAATTGCCTCAGTGTAAGACAAGCCAAATGACTTCAAAAGTGGTTTAATTACAAATGAGATTGCATTTTGCACTCCAAGCATAATAATTTTTTTTGAGACATAAGTTGAGAGACTAAATTATCTTCGAATGTATTAGGCTTATGGTCAAATCAAGTGACTCGATGAAACGAATCTAGAAAGCTCAATATTACTTGATCCGACGTCATTAAGGTATTCAAGCTCTCATAGAAATGATATTATTAAGGGAATCATTTTGGACCATCGGTTCAAGTGGTTCAAATTCTAGAAATATTCTAGCAATATTTATGAAGGATATCACTTTCAAAATCTATAAATAGTATCTCACTTTCTTTATGAGAGGAGGAGAGGCTAAGATGAGAAATTTGAAGGGAGTTATAAGCTCTTAAAGATTCTCAATCCACACCATTGTCGGACTACAGGCATGTTGGATGACAGTCGTCGGGCCACCGCCCCAAACACGGACCTCCAACACTGCTGTCAGCAACCATCACTTGGCCGACGTAGGGCCACTGTTGGACCACCACAATTGTTGAAGGACTATTATCTCCTGACCACAGCTACACTTAACCATTATCGTCGATTGGTCGCTGCTATTGGGCTAACATCATCCGACTAACACTGGGCCATTGCTTTCATCGCCGAACAACCGTTGTTGTCAATGGTTTATCATTGTTAGACTATTCATAGTTCAACTTTACATGGCTACCAATATTATTGTGGTAGACTATTATCGTCAGAACTACACTTAACCATTATCGTCGGTTGGCCGCCACTATTGGGCCATTGCTTTCATCACCGAACAACCATTGTTGTCAATGGTTTATCATTGCTAGACTATTCATAGTTCAACTTTACATATCTACCAATATTATTGTGGTAGACTATTATCGTCAGACCACCATCACTATGCAATGTTGAGGCACCGTTGTTGACTTTGAATCACCGAAGATCCATTATTGCAACTACTAGACCAATGTCGCCAAACTGACATCATCGTCATTGTTTCCACTACTTGATAATTATCGCCATGCAGCTGCTACCACTAGACCATAATTGTCCAGTCAACGTTGTCACCATTGCAGGACCACTTTCACTATCGTCAAACCATCATCACTTGGCTATGGACGATGCTATTGCCACCATCGCTTGCCGCCACAAATGTCAAACCACTTATACATAGCCGATGTTGTCAGATTATCATTATCTTATCATAATTGTCATCGTTACACCATATTTGACGGACCACTGTTGCTAAGCCAATCTCAATGTTGTTGCCATTGTCGTCTGGTTGTCGCAACCATCAAGCCACAACAATGTGGTTGGGCCACAATCACATTTGTTTTAGAACCATTATCGTGCAGACCTCGTCTTTGTAGTTTCAAGTTGTCGGACCATTGTCAGCATCGCTTGATCACTATTGCTCGAGCCCATTGCACTTGAACCG